ATGGGAGAAATCGACATATTGTGTTCCAAGCCGATGAGGTTAGGTCTAATATCAATTCATGCATCTAATGTTTTTTTTTCCACTTCTTCTTCAACAAAGGGTAGGTGGTAATGAAATACAGTAATAATCGTAGACAATTAAAATTTAGAAAAAGTAGTCTTAAGAGAAACCAACACAAGATATAGATAGCACTTGTTACAAAAAGGGCAGAGTCCCAAAATGAGTCCTCCAGATGCAACATTTGCCCCAGATCAAAAAATAAGCCTAGTAGAGTAATTTGCATCATTTGCAAGAACAATATTTGCCAAGATTACCAAAGAAACCAATTTGTTGCAATATTTTACTTGTAATTTATTACAATAACGACACCGAATATAAATATTGAATTTAAGGCTGTTTTATCGGTGCACCAAAACCTAGGGACTGTTATTTAAAAACAAAATGTCTCGAAATTTGGACACAATATTCGAAACTATGTTGCTTTTAAAATAATGGTTTTACTTTTTTTATTTTTTTGTTACTTCTGTTGAAAAATTGGATTATACTGTTTAACGTTCTATTATAACCAAACTTTTTACGCCCATCGCTTGAAAGAGTTTTTTTTTTTCTGTAATCGTTGAGTGTTCTGTAAGCGTGTTCAAACTTTGAAGAAAATTGCTAAAAAATACTAAAATCTATAGTGAAACGTGTCATCATTGTCGCTTATGTTTACCCCTATTGCCTTCGTGACTTCAAATCTCATGAGCGTACGGTCAGTTAGTTCGTGTTAAAACTGATTTGAATGGAGAGTAATGCATTTGTTGCCCGTTGGCCGACGCCACTGAGTAAATATAGTCTTGTGTAAGCAGTGTAGAAATGTAAGTGATACGCCTATTTCAAATCGCAGTGTGCTTGAACTGCTAAAACAGCCTTAAAAGCTTTAGTTTTTTATTGCAGTTTTAGGCATATGATAGCTCAGTAAAACATATAAGCAATTCTGGAACTCTATCTCATACCCTACCTTCAGATGGTGCAATATCTAATTTTTCAGCAGCATAACTCAGGAACACACACTGAGTTGTGATGTATGTAAATAAGTAAATATTCGGAACGCACTCAGGTTGGTAACATGGAATTCTTGAAGACTTAAGAAGAGTATACAAGTGAAATCGAATTTAAGGCAGCAATAAACTCAATAAAAATATCAGGTAACCTGTACAAAAACTGCAAACTCTTCATACAAAGATTTAAAAAGTTTAAAGGAGTCACCACGGACTCCTTTGAACTAGTTAATATTTTGGTTTGGCTTCCGTGATCCCCAGATTTATCCCCAATTAAGCACATGTCTACTAGAGAATATTTCTTAAACTTTGGAAGCACTTAAGGTAGGAGTTAAGTAGGGAATGATACGAGATACCCCAGGAGGATATTTACCAGCTAATCAGAAGCGAGCCCATACACATTTAAGAGTCTGTCGGTCACCAAGGTGCATCAGCACATTATTAATTGATTTACACCTACAAGTTGTTTCAATTATATTAAAATTTTGATCGTTTATTTATTTTGATATTCTGTATAATTGTTCAAAATTATTTCAAAATATAATCATTTATAGTAAATGTTCGGATTTCTGTGTCACATAAAATAATGATGTTTTAGTTGTGGGTAACTCCAGAAATAATCGACACAAGTCGGTGGGGTCACCCTCTTCGATTTGGCTGAAATTTTACACACATATTGTACTAGACAAAAAAAACATGATTGTCAAATTTTGAGACCTTAATATTTAAAAGGGCGGCTGTAGTGCACGATTGAAGTTTCACGCTTTTTATCAATTTTTTTTGTGTTTCGCCGATTTTTTTAGTACATCGAGCTAAACATGCATAAACAAATATCCACTATATGTTTTCCAATGTAAAATTTACCGCTGAATACGATCCCGGTGTCAGAATTGTCATATGATGTCATGTAAAGCCACAAAATGCGAAACAAAGCGCTTTTTTGAAAAATTCATATCTTAAAAACGCCCTCTTTAATTTTTTTCAAATTTTAACAAAAGACGCCTTAATGCAAGTACTTTGGAATAAAAGTTGTCTTAGAAATCTTTTTTATATGTTTGAAGCCGCTGAGTCCTATAAAAGTCAAAAAAACTCGATTTTTCCGCCTTTTTTAGCGCTTTTCCTTCGTTTTTCAGCTGCCAAAGAAATTTTAGAGGTTTTCTGACACCGAATTCAAATTCTACAGAAAATTTTACACAAATAATGACTATTTTGAATTTATTTGCTACCGATTTTACCGTAGTATAGGGGGCGACACGATATTAAACTCAGAATTGCGCGCTGTAATCAATACATTTTTTGCGCTAGGATTTTATTATTATACATATTATACACATACATTTGTTCGTCTATATACACAAGGGTGTGAGTATGTGCGTGTGTGTGTACATATATATGTACATATTATGCTTATATATATTATCATAATTAAATAAATCACCAAAGCTCTTATAATTATTATGATATAATATTACTTTATTGTAATATAATAATAATTTATTTGTCATTTTTCTGTTTTATAAAGAGACCAAAGTTACATTACATTTTGTCCTGCCTAATTGTACTTGAAGGTGATTTTTATGTTCGCACAGTTACATAATTTGGAATATAATAAATAAATATTAAAAATTGTCATTTTTTGTGTAAAATTATCCGTAGAATTGGAATTTGTTGTCAGAAAATCTCTAAAAGTTATTTGGAAGCTGAAAAACGAAGGAAAAGCGCTAAAAAAGTCGAAAAAATCGCGTTTTTTGAACTTTTATAGGGCGCAGCGGCTTTAAACATATAAAAAGGATTTATGAGACAACTTTTATTCGAAAGTACTTTTATTGAGGCGTCTTTTGAAAATTTGAAAAAAATTAAAGAGGGTGTTTTTGAGATACGAATTTTTCAAAAAAATTGCTTTGTTTCGCATTTTGTGGCTTTATATGACGTCATATGATAATTCTGACACCGGGATCATATTCAGCGGGAAATTTTACATTGGAAAACATATAATGGATATTTGTTTAAGCATATTGAGCTCGCTGCACTAAAAAAAATCGGCGAAACACAAAAAAAAAATTGATAAAAAGCGTGAAACTTCAATAGCGCACCATGGCCGCCATTTTGAATATTAAGGTCTGAAAATTTGACAATCATGTTTTTTTGTCTAGTACAACATGTGTTTAAAATTTCAGCCAAATCCAAGAGGGTGACCCCACCGACTTGTGTCGATTATTGCTGGAATTTACTCAATTTATAGTAAATGTTCGGATTTCTGTGTCACATAATATTATGATGTTTTAGTTATTTCTAATAACCAATCTATTTATTTTAGTTATTTAAAGCTACCTATAGTTACCTGTCGGTGATGTGGAAATAGAAACAACTAAATTACCATTTGATATGGTATGAATGATACGAAAGACGATACCATTGGTTTCAAAATTAGATGTTTATTTTATATTTATTTCTTAATATATAACATAAATCAGTAGATAATAACTACATTAAAATAGAATCACTGTAGAAAATAAAATCACCAAAAGTATATATTTCTTTTATTTAATTTTCTTTTATAATTTTGACCTGTGTGTTCCAAATTTGTCAGTAAGGTTTATTTATAAACTTGTTCCCAAAATACTAAAGATTAAAAATGATATAAAATTACCGATTTCTTGTACCAATTAACGTTGGAGCAATCATAGCAGTAAATAAGAGGGCTATGGAGCGCTAGATGTTGGGTGTGTCTCTGAACGATCGAATCCCATATGAAGAAATACGTCTGTTAACAAAAACAGCAAAAGCTGTTGAATAAATAGCGTCGCTAAAATGGAATAGGATAAGATACGTCTTCAGGTTATCAGACAACCGATAAACAAAACATGTTGTCGAGTGAAGGCCAAGGCACAGAATAATAAACAATCAGAATGTCCACTCTCAGATGCCGCCTTTGAAGTTTTTCAGCAAGCGCGCCATGTTTTAGAAGGAAACACATAACACAGATATATGATTTGTGAGGTTATGTAATTGTTTATATTTATGTATAATTATATTATATTTATGTTATTATATTTAAAAATGTTAATATACTTAATTGTATAGTATGTCTATGATTGCCCTAAGTCAATTAAACCAGGTTAATTTTTCTATGTACCCCACATAAACAACACTGGTTCCCTCTAAAACACGGCGGAACGTCTGCGCGAAGGAGATGCGCGTACTTAATTTTCTATGGAGAGTGGGCATTCTGATTGTTTATTATTCTATGGCCAAGGCAAGAAGTACTACGAAGCAGAGGACGCCCACCAATCATATAGACTAAGAACCTTAAGCGTGTTAGCAGTAACTGGATCCAAGCCGCACAAGACAGAGACATATGAAAAGAGTTAAGCTAAACCTATGTCCAGCAGTAAACGTGTACAGATTGATGATAATAGTGATTGTCATAACAACAAAAATTAAAAATCTGAACGAATGGGCCCGTTTGTAACGTAACGTTTGTAAACATAAAAAACGTTTTTGCAGCCACAATTTTAGTTAGTGGAGTTAGATCCGGTAGAAGGAAAATATCATGGCTGCGGAATTTAAGAACATGGTTTAAGAAAACCTCAACGGAGCTGTTTCGAGCCGCAGCGAGCAAGGTTATGATTGCCAATATGATTTTCAACATCCAAAACGGATAGGAACCAGAAGAAGAAGAATATATATATATATATATATATATATATATATATATATATATATATATATATATATATATGTACGTATAAACCCTGTATATATTTTATGTTATACATTAAGACTATATCACATCTAGACGACTACATACTACAAGGCCGCCACTAGTGGTTTATGCCGATTATGGTATACTCGCACTGTGTCAAGTTCTTTTACTATTATTTGATGGCAACTTTATGGTTTTCGCAATTGCTGAGATTATTTTTTCAGTTAGATTATGTGTAATGGTATTGTTAGGTAGTAGATATTAAGTAAAGTACATATCTCTGTGAAGAAGGAAGATAATTTAAAATGGGTAAGTATATAAGTATTTTTTAACATGTGATAAAAATGTGTGATGTTTTCTGGCTTTTTATATTCTTTACCATTAAGTTAATTTAATTATATGTTTTATTTGGTTTAGATTTTTTATTACTAAAAATTTATATAATATATATATATATATATATATATATATATATATATATATATATATATATATATATTTACTTAAAAAAACTCGTATTCATTAATTCCTAGTAAATGTATAAGTATTCGATCTTTTCTACTAATAATCATAAAAACTAATCACCAGTACATTAATGTATTATACGTATAGAGTAAGGACCCTTAAGTTAGCGGGGACAAATGAGTGGAATCCAATTTAACCTACGTAATATTTTTTCACCCATTTTTCACTAACCACCCTAATAATTTTTCACCACCAAACCAACCTTAAGGGGATCGATTCTGCTGGCTTAAGGTTCAAGCTAGTAGAATTCGAAAAAAAAAAAAACTTTTTGCTCATGGCATATTTGTTCACCCATTTTCACTAATTTATTACCAGCCTAATAATTTTTCACCACCAAACCATCCTTATTGGGAGAGATTCTGCTGGCTTAAGGTTCATGCTAGAAGAATTCGGAAAAAAACTTTTTGCTTATGGCATATTTGTTCACCCATTTTTCACTAATTTATTACCACTCTAATAATTTTTTACCACCAAACCAGCCTTAATGGGAGTGATTCTGCTGGCTTAAGGTTCAAACTAGCAGAATTCAGAAAAAAAAACTTTTTGGCGATGGCATATTTTTTATCCATTTTTTACCCATTTATAACCACCGTAATAATTTTTCACCACCAAACCGCCCTTAAGGGGAGCGGATTTGCTGCTTACGGTTAAAACTAGTAGAATTAAAAAAATATTTATGATATACCACAGTCCTCTGCTAGGTTTTTATGTCAATAATTCTTAGGTAAAAATTTAAGGTGATGAAAAGTCGATTTTTACAATTTAACTGTACTCTATCAATCAATATTTCTGTTAGGTTAAAATTTATGGCGAATTTTTTTTATATCCCACTGTACTCTGCTTATAATTGAAATAAAAAAGTGTTCTAGTAAGTTTTTGCTACACTTTCACCACCGTGATAATTTTTCACCACTAAAGCAATTTTATTTGCAAATGTTTCCGCTAGTTAAGTATGCGAGCCAGCAGAATTAAAAAAATATATGTATTTTTGAAGTACCACAGTGTTTTGATAGGTTTTTACAAATTTATGACCACCCTACTAATTTTTCACTTCTTAACTACTCTCTGTGGTAAGTCAATATTAAGCTATTAAGCGGAAGCTAGAACATTAAACTATTCAAATAAAAAATTTGAATCACCACACGATTCTGCTCAATTTTTGCTATATTTTAGCCTCTCAACCAATCCATGGTAGCTTAGGTTAAAATAAAAAAGTAATATTTAAATACCACTGTGTGCTACAAAGCTTTTCCAATTTATTAACATTGTTCTGAAGCTATTTTTTTGTGGCATTTTAAATTAATTACTATTTAACTAACAATGAACAAGAAAGGACAAATAATTGCATTTATAAAATACCTTGTGAATGCGATCATTTTTATTTAGGTGAAACATTAAGGCCATTAAATGTTAGAATGAAGTGAACATCAAACTTATATTAAAAATGGAGAATTTGATAGATCTCAAATATGTAAATACGCATGGGATAATGAACATAGGGTTCAATGGAATAATTCAAATGTAGTCCTAAAAGAAACGGATGGTAAAAAAAAGAAAAATCAAAGAAGCGGCTCTAATTATGCTAAATGAGGCCAATTGTGTCATAAATTCCGCGGCAGAATGTAGTAGGATCTGGTTACCAATATTGAAAGAGGAAGTTATTAATAAGAAAATACCAGTATTAGTAAGTCAGTAACATATAGAGGATGCATAATTTATGTTTTTTTAAATAACGAAACATATAAAATCAGAATTTTGGTGTTTATTGAAGGTAAACTAAATGCACGAGCAAATACTTACCATGTCGGGATAGTATTATGAGGTTTTTTTACTGGTTTTTCCCTCATAATTTACTATGGAATCACTAAGAGGAGAATTTTACTGTCATCATTTCATGTGTTTGTCTTTTTAAAGACACATGCTATGATTTTTTCTGACGGATATTTTCAAGTTCAAGTTGATTTCATGTAATCGAATAAACTATCTTATAAGTAAAGGAGCGCAACTCAACAATATTGGCAATATCATTTTAAAGTCGTCTACTTTAAAATGCATAATGTATGTCTGAATTGTTAATATATAGTAGTCAAATAAAAATAAAAGATTAGAGCCATTAAATAAAGTATATCAAATAACTAATAAGAGTATATAACTATTTCAAATATATTGTGAGATTAACTATAATCAAATACTATTCTCAATGTAAAAGATATTTTCCAGACCTATCTATGGAAGTTTTCACTTTTTCGTCACTCACTGAGTGCAATACTTTTCTAATGCACATTTTATTACTAATTTTTTATTTATTTTGGTTTAAAGTAAAATTTACTTTTAGCACCTATGTTTTGTTGTTAATAATTTTTAGGTGATACGAGTATTCTCATAAAAGATCGAGATCTAAGATTAAAAGCAGCTTTACTCAGCTACCAAAAAACAGAAAGAAATTTAGAAGAATATATTACTGTAATTACGAATTGGTTTAAAACTCAAAGACATCTTCCGGAAATACCAGGTACAGTTCTATAATAATAATTATAATTTTTCCATAGATATTTTCATTACTTTTTTTAATGGCTTTAGATTGCTTGATCTATTCAGCCACGATATTAACGCGGTATACATTTTTCTTCGTTAAATAAGATGAGGGCTGTTTCTTTAACTTTTATCTTTTTTATGTCTGTTTCTTTCATACAAATCGATGCATCCTACACATGTTTTTGTTCTAATTTTATATATATTTTGTGAACCTAGTCTCTATCCTTCCATTGTTGGATATAGGTCTCCCTAAGTTCTCTCCATCTTTCCCTATCTTGAGCTGTTCTCTGCCATGTGGGACCTCCATGTTTCCTGATATCATCCTTCCACCTCTCCATGCCTGTAAGTGTAAGTTCCGTTAATCGAACAAGATGAAGCGGCATTTGAAATTCCTGCAGAATTTTTTGTCTGTTGACTGAGTCGTATGCGGCTTTATGGGTATGTGATGGGTGTCGACTCCGAACTCAAGCGTTTTCTCAAGAATCTGCCTGACTGTGAAGATTTAATCCATTTGTGATTTATTGGGCCGGAAATCGCACTGGTAGTTCCTAACTATTTGTTCAACATAGGGGATAAATCTTCTGTACAATACGTTGGTCACATTTCAAACTTCTTTAGGTACAAATTTCGCATGATTTATATTGTTATATCTAATTGATTTTTTTGACAATTTATTGCATATGTTTGAATTTATTGCATTTGGGATAAGAGGAAAAGTTTTTCGTCTTTACAACAGTACTCGAATTTCATATTTGGCGGGGATAAATAATCTAACGAAAATGTCGATCACAAGAAGCAAAAGCAAAGAAAATTTAGGAACTATAAATATGGAGTTAAATAAATATGTATAAAAAATTTATTTAAATGGTCTATTTATTTATTGTCTTTGGCTAAGGAAAAAAAGTATATATATATATATATATATATATATATATATATATATTATATATATATATACAAGAAATACTGGATATTAGTGACTGTCGATATAAACAAACAACACAGTTTATTAGGGTTGCAGTTGGCCGGGATGTTAAAAAAACACTCTTTTGACTTTTTGTCGAGCTTTCGGAATGGTTTTATTCCTTTTTTAAGACACTGTAAAAGACAATTATGTAAATATTTAAAAAATATCACAATTCTTCAGTGTAACTTACTAGTCGTTGAGATTATTTTTATAAGCATTGACACTCAACATTTATACCACACATTAAAATATACAATTATGGACATAATACATCATAAAATTTTTAAAATTTGTTGTAAAAATAGTAAAACTTGATTGATGGCATGTTTTACTAGTGTATATTAACTCATACAGAGAATGGAAAGAAAAAACAGTGTAATTAATATGTAATTAGGTGTAATTGATGTTATCTTTTTTTACAAGAAATACTAGAGGCCCTTCTTAGGGGCCTAAGGGGCCTTAGGGCCTTAGGGGCATAAAAGTATAGTCACCTATACCTTACATGTGAAAGGTAAGGTCCAAAGAATACCGGAAAAATAAAAAACATATAGGATCTAACATTATATATTGAAATAAAAATAATGAAATAAAATTCACACTCAAATGTTTTCAATAAACAATATCTCATGAACTTTTGTTTAAATTGTTTAAATTTGAGCCTTTCCTAGTCAGTTGAAGCTTAAAGGTACTTTTTAAATCACTTTTATTAGTAGTTATTAGTATTAGTATTAGAACCAGGATTAACTTAATGTTGATATAATAATGAAGATTTTCGTAATATAAATTAGTATTAGGTATATTTTTTAATTCTTCCTAATCAAAACGCTTTTACAGAAAAGAATATTATTATCAACTTTTTGTTGATGAACAAATTTGTTATACAGAGTACCAAAGAAAAATTGGAAATGTATTATTCAATTAGAACAATTATACCAGAATTTTTTCAAGGTAAACACCCATGTTCGGATCATATGCAAAAATCTACTGACAAAATGTAAGTATGTGTATAACTTAAACATTAAAATAGATACAAACGAAATTGTAATAAAAAAACTAGGCGTAGATGTTGGAAATGGGAATAAAATAAAATTAAGTTTAATATAAGGGATATGTAATGTTGTTTGCAATATTTTTAATATGCTTTGTGCTTTATATTTATGCTTTGTTGACTATTCCAAAGCCTTCTATACCATAAAATGGGATAAAATGTGGCATATATTTAGAGAAATGGGTACTCATGAATATCTAATCTTTTTATTACAAAAACTATATGTAAATGTACGAGTTAATAATGTGGTTTCGAAAAACTTCAAATCAAAATCTGGAGTTCAACAGAAATGCACAATATTCTCTATTCTATTCACTGTTTATATAGTAAACATATTATACGCCAAGTTTTTGAGGAATGGCAAGGTGGAGCAACGATAGGAGGAAGAAAAATCAAAAACCTACGTTATGCTGTTGACACTGTTATATTATCGTCATCACCAGAAGAACTGGAACAAATTATAAATAAAAAGAAAAAGAGGTTAATCTTTGTAAATGGGTATATTTATTTAAAAAAACCCTTAAAAGGGCCACATCAATAAAACAAACGTTTTCGGACCACACAGTCCATCATCAGGTTTTTAAAATCGAAAAATACTAGGTCATAATGCCTGAGCCACCAAAATACTAGGGTAAAAACCCTTTAAATTACATTTAGTTATGAAAGATTGTACATTGTGTTGTAAAATAACTGTGATGTTCAGTATTAAATTAAATTTGACTAGAGGTAACACATGGCTCAATCGGGTTCCAGAGCCGGTGAGAGAGAACCTCTGCACTCGGAGAACAGCTGGGAACTAGTCAAATTTAATTTAATACTGAACATCACAGTTATTTTACAACACAATGTACAATCTTTCATAACTAAATGTAATTTAAAGGGTTTTTACCCTAGTATTCTTGTGGCTCAGGCATTATGACCTAGCATTTTTCGATTTTAAAAACCTGATGATGGACTGTGTGGTCCGAAAACGTTTGTTTTATTGATGTGGCCCTTTTAAGGGTTTTTTAAATAAATATACCCATTTACAAAGATTAACCTCTTTTTGTTATACGTGGTATACAGCCAGCTACAGGAATTTTTCCTTGTGGAAATTATAAATAGTCTAGGCACGATGAGTATGGAATATGGTTTGAAAATACATATGCAGAAAACCAAAGTGATGTTCATCGATAGAATCAGAAACAACCAACCACAGATAAGAAACATGGCAGATTACGAAGTGGTCAGGTAATTTAATTACTAAGACTTCGTTATTACTAACAGTGGAGGATGTGAAGATGAGATCTTTCGACGCATAATAATGGCCAGATCAGCAACAGCCAAACTCACAAAAATTTGGAAGAACACTGACATCACAAAAAACACAAAATTTAAATTTGTTCAAGCATTGATATTTCCTATCGCCACCTATACTTTATAAACTTGAATAATAAAAAAAGTTGATAATGGGATTTGAAAGGTGGGTCTACCGTAGAATGTTCCACCATGGACCGCCCATCGCACAAATAACTCAAGTCCAGCAGAACTTAACATAAAAACTAGACTCGTCACAACTATCAACCAAAATATACTGAGATATTTAGATAGAATAGATAAAAGAAGACTTACAAAAAGCATATAATAGTGTACCCCTAAGTAAACTATGGTCAAACCTACAGCAAACCAACATTAAGCATGGTCTTATCAAAGCAGTCCAAAGTCTGTATAATGGAACGACTGCAAAAATTAAAACTGGATCAAGGATATCTGAAGGATTTAAGGTCACGAAAGGACTAAAGCAGGGTTGCTGTTTTTCGCCTACCCTTTTCAAAATTTAGTTGGAACAAGCACTCAAGCTATGGAAAAGAAAATGTAATGGCATGGGAATCCCTCTCAATGACGAAACTACACTGTATACCTTATGATTCGCTGATGACCAAATACTGATTGCCCAGGATCATGATGACTTGAGTTACATAACTCGAAAGCTAATAGAAGAATATAACAAATGGGGTCTCGAAGTCAACATTAAGAAAACTGAAGCCATGTGTATTGGAGGGACAAAACAATCCATTATATTAGACGATGGGGTAGAAATTAGAAACTGTGATGAATACAAGTACTTGGGTATGAAGATAACTCAAGATGGAACACTCGATGCTGCTATAAAAGACAGAAACATACATGGTAGAAAAGCCATATCCATGATGAACGGCATTCTGTGGGACCAAACAATATCTAAAGCGAACAAACAACTCATATACAACACCATACTTAAAAGTGTAATCACATATGGCAGTGAAGTTTGGCCAATGAAACAAAGAACAGAGAAACTGTTACTAGCAACAGAAATGGACTTCTGAAGAAGAGCAGCAGGCAAATCAAGAAGAGATCGGATACCAAATGAGAGAATACGAGAAATGATGGTAGTCAAGCATACAATAGTTGATGACATAAAAAGAAAATAGTTAATATGGTACGGCCATGTACAGAGAATACCAGATGACAGGATTTCAAAACAGATTTTGACGTGGACACCACAAGGGAAAAGGAAAAGAGAAAGACCGAGAAGAAGCTGGAGAGAGGGAATTGAAAAAGAAAAAGAGGGAAGAGAAATCCCTTCAGACCTATGGTTGAATAGAGAAGAATGGCGGTTAGGAGTCGGAAGGCATCGGAGAACGCTGTAAACCGATAGTAGTAGTAGTAGATAGAAGAAAAAAAGGCATGGAGCGAATGATACTTGAAGGTAACGTAGCGAGTAAGAGATCCAGAGGAAGAGCTCCAGTACAATGGTCGAACCAAATAAAGGAGATGACTGGTTACTCATTCTCCGAAGCAAAACAACACGCACAGGAGAAAGATAATTTTACACAAATAGTTAAATCAATTCCATGACGCCACTACATTCTTACGACGAAGAAAAGATTGAGAAGGAATGTTGTTTGGCATGTAATATTCCAACAATATATTTTGAACATTTTTTGTCATATGCTGCATAAGTGTCTGTCACATACAATTTTTTTTAGTTTGGTAAAAGTAAACGATTGTTCGTCTGAGGGTCGAGTTTCTGGAGGACAAAATTTTCATTGGAACAAACTGTATATTGTTCATAAGTAAAGAATAACGTCTAGTCTCTAATTTATGACATATTTTTATCAACAAATAGGTAAAAAAGAAATAAATAAGACTTATTCACAATCAATTTAATTTAACTACCTAAATTTTAACTACAATTTGCAAAGCATCTCCTAGTCAGTGTCATTTGCAAATTGTAGAAAGCGAAACCAGTCGTCTAGCTAGTTAAATTAAACTGATTGTAAGTAAGTCTTATTTATTTCTTTTTACCTATTTAAAATGGACACACACGGGCAACACATTCATGATTTTTATTAACAAATTTATCAAGAGCAGTTGTTAGATACCTGTATCAAAGAGTGACTCGAAGAAGGCTTTTTATTTGCTAATGTCTCTAGTCTATAAAGAACTATAAGGTTCATTTTTAAATAGAATAATATTATATCTATAGCTAGCATCTCAGAAAACTGAGTATAAGTTCTTAAAGGAAGCTGAGAAAAATCCCCTCTTTTCTATTATATAGTGGAAGGTTTGGAAGTTGCACCGGTTAAATCGGTAAAGTATCTCAGAGTCTGGTTATCGGAAGGGCCAAGGTCCAACCGAAATCTGGAGGCGTTGCTAACGCTGATGCCAAATATTGGAGTCCCAGGTAGCACCAAAAGAAGGGTGCCAAATAAAGTTTTCCAGTTAATAGTAACCTATGCCGCCCCTGTATGGTGTAGCGCCCTCAACTTAGGGTATCTATGACGCAGTTTCTGACCGGACATCGGTCAGAATGAACACTAGAATAGGCGAATCTGCTTCGGCAGACTGTTCTGTTTGTGGAGTACCGTATGCTCCCTCCCACATTTTTAACAGCAAGAGGTGGGCAAATAAGAGGGGAGACTTCGAGAGGCGAATGGGTTTTGGGTTGGGGAAAAGAAACATGGTAAACATATTGCTAAGAGGAGAGAAAAATGGAGAAAAGTACATTGTCTAATTTGTAGGGTGATAAAGAACAAAGAAGAGGAGGAAAGAGGAGGAAATTAATTCAGGGATCTAAAATTTATGGATATTATTATTTAATAGTTTCTTATTTATTAGTTTATGGCCTCACGGAATAATTTTCTAATTTTCGGTGATCGGTATGGTTATTTGTAAGTATTTGTAAATATTTAATTTTTTAAACACTGCTAATCCTGGGGTCTTCTGGCCTAGTATTCTACACGGCCGAAAGATGCCAGGGTATCTTGCTACATGACGTTAGATATCCAAAAAAGATTTCCCCCACTGTTGCCTGCCAGAATTTAATGGATACCTTCTTAGACCCTTACTGGAATCTGGCAATACTGCAAATAAAAAAATAAATATGCAAGAACACGATAGAATCGTTTATAATACTGTATTAAAAAATTTAATTTCAGTGAACAATTTTTAAGTATATTGATATAAATATTATTTTCTTATTTATTTGAATTTGTTGTTTTTGTAGATATTTTATTCCTTTACCAAAAGTAACTGAAAGAGGGTATAGAGTCGCCATAATAAAATGCCTGGAGAGTCCGGCGAATTTCCACGTATGTGATTTTTTTGCGCATACCTACAATATATCAGAAATTAGATTGCACGAGGACGTTGCTGTCGGTGATATTTTAGTGTATGACTTTGATAATCTTAAAGTGGGGCATTTTCTCAAACTAACTCCGGTCATAATAAAGAAGTCTACAATAGTGTTAGAGGTGAGTTTCAATGATTGGTAAATTTATTATGACTCGATAAAATAAGTTCCATAAAAAAGCTATACACAGCGCGGCTGAATTATGTCTTTTTCTTTATTAACATAAGCATAACAGTCTTTATTAACTCTCACTATTTAATCAGACCAATGACATGGTTTTGAGTAACCCCAAAATTAGGAAACAAATGGCTGTATTTTAAATGTTTATAAATTATACAATTTCTCACGTCTGATCCTGCAACGGTCTTCTGGGACTAAAAGCCCGTTTAGCAGATGCCATTGCGATTAAATAAGCAGGCAGGTTATTATAGTGATCTGTTGGTAAGGTAGTGAAACAGTGAACTGCGCGACAGTTGAAACAGAAACAGAACAGGGCACTGGGCCTCTTTGACCTCTGCTTTTCCCTAGAAGTACACTAACTTCACCCAGTTACTTGGCCAAGTTTGAAACGTATCTTATGCTAATATTGTAGTTTAGTCTTTTCTTAAGGTAAATTCAGTTTATTTTTGATAAATCAAACAGTCACAATAAAAAAAACGTACAGTATATAAATGAATAGACACAAAATAGTAAACAAAAATGGAATAACCACATAAGCAGAATAGAGTAGACCCGTGTCGTCAAAATAGCAAGAGATAAGTCACTAATCGGCAAAAGAAGTATCGGACGACTGCGCAAAAGATGGAGTGACAACCTTCCATAGAAGTATTAATCCGCCAATGAAGAAGCAGAATTGCTTATATAGGAAAATAAGAAGAAAAAGAAGAAACAGTCACATAGGCATGCCATCTCGGGGGCTGTGTTCGAGGATAGTTTTCTTGATGTTTTTATTTAGTTTGTTAATAGCATTTGTTCACGTGCTATCAACCATAGAAAATTTTGGAATGTTCTTGATTCTGATTCTGATGTACTTTACTACACTTGTAGCGTTTTATATTTAATGTCTATATAATAATATAAATTCGGTTATAAATTGTCATAGTACGCCCCTAGTATACTAAGATATGTATTGTGTCTGTTATGGAAGTCGAAATTTTTAAGACGTATTTGGTAGTGAGATAGTGAGAACGATTTTTGTTTACTTTAGCCAACAAATATTCAGTTTAAAAATAGTTTCTTAGAAAAATTATCGCACAGTCAGGTAATTTTTGTTACCACGCAAAAATAATAGGAATTTCAAGGTTGTGTAAAAGAAGTCTTGTTTAAGTTTGTGGACAGGCTAACTGCGGGGAAAAGGGGTGATTCGGCGTTAGAATTGAGAGAAGGAGCGCGGTGGGTGCAGCAGTCAAGCTGAGTTAACCAAAGGGGACAGTCATATCGATTTAAATCGACTTTTTCGATTCAATCGTTAATTTTTTTGGTAATGTTTTAATACCAGTAAAAAAAATGAAGATATTCTTGGTTTTAATTGCCGTCTTTGAACAGAGTACTTCATATTATATCGTTTACCTATGATATGGTAGTCACCGGAAGATTTAAATGAATGCCGGAAGCTTTTGCTAAGGTGTTCCAAATGCTAGCTTGAGTCCTCAACCAGCCTGTTTGATCGTTCGTCCCGGAGTGTGGAAATGATTCTTGATGGTTGCTGTTTTTCCAGTTTGAGAGTTTTGTCCAAGTAAGCTTCCCCAGAGATATACAAGTTTCAAAGTTAAGTGATTGTAAAAAAAATTTTAAGGTAACTTTTAATATTTTCATCTTTCCAAGTTATATGGACATTATTAATAATTGCTTTCATTAATACAATTTGTAATAATTAAAGATTTATATTATATTGTCATAGATAAAAGTGTCATAATAAAATCTGTCTTAAATTGTTGTGTTGACAGACGACATTTTGCTTTAATCCATTGTTGTAAAAATTCAATTTTAATTTGATTATTTTATATAAAATATATTCCATATATAAGGTTAAATTCAATAATATTTGTCATAAAAAGGATATCCATAAAATTTTGATAATCTAAATTGGCCATATTATAACCTAGAAATCATTTGAATTTTTGTAGCAATCTTTGATGTAAACAAAGACATGTAAGTTTTGTTATTTTGTATTATGATGTATAGTATGTTTCTTTTGTAATCTATATTTTGATAACTGTTTGTTTAAGACAAGAATAAACGTTCAATTTGTTTCTCTGATTCATTTTGTGTTTTGATTTAGAAAAGTCTCCTAATCCTTGTGTGTATTTTAGATTGTAAGGAAGAAGAATTTTTTTTCTTTCTCCTAGCAGGAAGTTTTCTTCGAAGCGGCGTCCAAGAAGAAAAAAATAGCTAGAGGTAAATTTATCTGCCATATCTTATTCGTTTTTTTGACCCAGGAGATTTATATAAGTGTCCTTTTGTTTTCATTTTGTAGATACCCCAATCCAACCCCATATCTTTAACTTATCCACGACCCAGCTCTCCAACAACCAACTGAGTGCTGTACGCACTTGTTTCGATTTATTTTGTTTGCCCAATCTTCTACCCCATGTTCTTACCCTGAGGTAAGCAAAATATAGTCGTTACACACTAAAGTAAGATGGCTAAGTACACACTTGCTATTTAATCGCATTTAGGATCTTAAACACGCATAATCTCTTTCACCAAAGAAAAAGAAATGGATAATTATTAACATTTGAAAGATATATGGCTTTAGGACTTTGATTTTTCTTCAGATCTTCTCATCAATAAATTAAATCTTAAACTCTAAGAAAAGAAATAAATTAATGCATAATATATGGGGCTTTTCCATATATATCCATTATATCAGGGCTTTTAAATTGTATTTGAATCTACTTACTAAACCACTAGCTAAGAAATACCTTACTCACTTTCCAGAGCTAAAAACGATTACAGTTATGACAAACAGTTTTAAGAGCTATGAAAAACACATGAAATTTCTTCATAGCTAGTTTGAGCAAAGATTCCAAGACTTCAAAGTTATCGAACAGTATCTGGACATTTTTAGCATGACGTTTAATGTGGACTGTAGATTAATTAAATCACACTGAATTAAAACAACTATTTCTCAATGTTTCTAAAATTGAGTTCTACAAGGACCTGTCAAAATTAAGGTTCCCAAATGTGAAAATTTATACACAGAAAATAATTGCGATTTTTTCCATTTCCTACATCTGTGAACAGGTGTTTACTACCATGAAACTTCGCAAAAACATCAATAGCAAGCAATTAACTGACCAGCACACGAAAAGTATTTTTTTTTCTTAAGGGCATAATATCCAAAATACGCCTTTACCTGTAGGGCGTAAGCACGCGTAATTTTTATAATTTTGTCGCCTGTATTCAATTGGACATTATTCTATCACTTTTTCTAGTCATTCTTACTAGATACTCCTTTCAATTGTTGTTCAAAATATTACTTACTTCATTTCTCGTATGACTGTTCTCACTACTGTATATTAACTTGCTTCCATCTTTACAATCTCTTAATTGAATGCTTTTCTAATGAGTTTCTTGAACACAAAATACACCGATTCTTTTTCTCTGCATGTAATCGGCAAGCTCTCATTCTGTCTTCCATACTTTTGAAGTTAAGAGTTGCAATCCCCAGGACTAGCTTCTTTGACCCCTTTTATTTTTTAAGGTAGTTCACGTCTCTTAGAGGTCGGGCGAGGTCGCAACTGCGGGTCGTTTAGAGGGAACGCCCCAGCCACTAAACTGTTTAAGATAGTTCTTTTTTTCATGGTTTTAGTAAGGATTTTTACTGCCGGGTGCCCTTTCTAAAGCAAAGTCTCCTCCTGTATCATTTATGTTTCAAATTCATACGTCAACACATTTATTTTTTATTAGTGTTTTTTGTGAACTTTTTATCCAGAAATTTAGCAAAAGTGTAACAAAAGTTATGTCAAGTAGATTTTCCACCAAAATAATGAAGATTATATCATTCTTATATTTAATATTTATGTCTTTGTAAGCATATCGCATTCAGCATGATTTGGCCAATGCAATAGCAGTGGAACCTAATTTGCTTTAAACCATTTTATATTTTTCTATTTGACGACTTATGAAATAACTTCTTATATAAACAAACATTTATAAAAAAATTGCCAATATACTTATATCTTTGCCTATATCTATTAATATATACTGGTTAACGATAATTTTGTTTTAGAAAGTATTTAGTAATAGAGTTAAGCAGATTCACATATTAAATACACCAAAATATGCATCCACAACAATTTCTGTAGCAAAAAAAGTGATGAAACCAAAAATCGCCTCAAGGGTATGTATTATTAAAAGTTTTTACATTTATCTATTAATTAAAGTAGTTCAAAATTCTTGTAATTTATTTTTTACGATTAGTAACTTATTATTGGCCATATGTAGCATTTAAGGACGCAAATACGGAGATTCCATGGAGTTTAGAGCTGTTGCTATTTGAATATATTTACTTCTTCGTCTCAGTACCAATTATTTTATTTATAGGTATTGCTACTCGTATCTTCACTTCTTCGTGAATTTCTCAACAATGTCTATGAGTTGGCTGTTTTTTTTTTCTTAATTATACTTGCATGTGAAATTGTCTTTTGGTTATTATAAATGTTGTTTTTGTGATGTTAATGTTGCGACCATACCCCTATACAACTTGTTAATATTATTTACTATCTCTTATAATTATTTTATGTTGTTTGCTATAATAGCTGTATCATCCGCATATAGCAAATTATTTATAGGAATTCCACTTATTTCGATAATTTTTTTATTCTGTTGTGCAATTGGAAAAATCTTCTCTATAATAATAAATAGCTGTAGCACGTCCCCTGTCCCTAGTTATTACTAGGTTTTCTCTATATACAGGATGTTTCAAAAAAGGTAACCCCGTCTCTAGGGTAGGTAAAAAACTGAAAAATATTTGGGGTTTGCTTCGTAAAAAATGTTTGTAACACCATCCGTTTTCAAGATACAGGGCGTTGAAGAAAAAAAAAATTACGCATTTTTCACGATTTTGCCGAAACTACTAGAAACATTGTAATGAAATTTTATAAGAATAAGTTTTGGAAGCTGATACATACCATGAATTTTTTTTTATATCTGATTCTCATAGAGGGCTTTAGTTACACAAATCGTACTAAGTATTAGTCAATATAACTTTTTTGAGATTATAATTATTAATCAAAATTTTAAGCAAACATAAACATCATTCAATTTTACACGAAAAAGGTACTCTTGGTAAAAGTCAATACTGTGTACCGTTTTCGAAATATTTTAATTTGAAAATTATGAAGTAATAATTTTTGCTGGTATAAAATAGTTAGTAATTAAACAAAACTCACAAGAAGAAAATTAAATTAATGACTAAGAACATCAAAGAAAATTCAATTACAGTAAGTGTTCAAAATGCCCTCCATTTTTGCAAATACACAAGGTAATTCTTTTTTCTAAAGATTCCATTAACCTTCTAAACGGTAGTGGATCAGCTATGATGTCATTCAATTGACGTTGAATTATTTCTTCCAATTCTTGGCGTGAATTTACCTCTGTAGCATAGACTTTTTCCTTAATATACGACCAGCATATCATCGGTCCATCTAGTCGGTGGTCGTCCTCGGCTTCTTATATAGTTTCTGGGCCTTTCCATAATACGTCTTGTCCATCGTCCATTTTGTTTTCTGGCCAAGTGCCCTGACCAGTTCCACTTAAGCGTCGTGGTTCTTTCGATAACGTCTTGAATTCCTAATCTTTGCCTGATTTGTTCGTTTGTTATGTGGTCTCGAAGGCTCACGTTCAGCATTGCACGTTTCATGGCTCGTTGTGTAACTCTGAGTTTATTCGTAGATTTTTGCGTAAGTGTTAGTCTCTGCTCCATAAGTTTGTACAGGTAAATCATATTGGTTATAAACCTTTCGCTTAAGACACATGGAAATTGAACTTCTCATTGGCAGAGGCTAAAATATGATCAGGCAATAATCACCAGGACAAACCAAATTCGTCAGCATTGTACAATTCTGCCCTGCTAAGCTGAAAAGTTCTATCTACCAATTGTGCTATTTTGTAAAAAACGCAATTAACTTTAGTTTGCTGTTAATTGCAATATTAATGATATCGAACTGTAATTTTGAATAAACTTAATTTTTGTATATAGACTTTATGGGATAATCCAAGGAAGTAATTAGTATAGAGCATACATGAGTTTTGATAAAATAGGACGATTTAGCTTAGGATTTTATTAAAAATTTCAGATAGGACAAGATTGTTTTATAATTAATTTTTATTGCACTTATAACGAGACATTTATTTTTTACATTATATTAGTATAGCCCTCTAATGTTGTAAAAAAACTTATAATACCTAACTTCAGCAACATAGCCTACCGGAAATTCTTCCCAAAACTGTCTCTAGTTGGCTGGAGCTAGAATTATAGTTTGCAGGTTATTCAGCAATTTCAGCGTTCTCTCTTGACTAGTTCTTCGGTTGGAGTTTTGTGGTGGTGGAAGTGTTACACCAGTTTTAAATGTGCCTGCAGTTAAAAAGTTCAGTTCTTTCAAATCTTCTGTGTCATACGAGTTTTTATATTCTAGTTTTCTCGCCTCTCGTATAAATTGCCAGCCAAATATTATTGAGATAGCAGCGTGGCATAACTCTTTTAATTTGTATTTTGAACTGAAATCTGCCCACTCATAGAAATGTCTATTCTCTAATGCTACAACATCGGTTTTGTTGAATTTAGAACACATTGAACATAGTTATTAAAATCCCAAATAGTTTTGACCCTTTTTAATGATTTTTCTACTTGGTGGTGAAAATGGTCCGCGGACATAAACGTGTGTCTGCGCTAAAATATTTTACGGTTAATTATTTTAAGTTAACTTCTGTAGCATTTACTATATAGACTAAAAAGCTGAACAAACACTAATTCTGGTTCTTATTCTTATCCAGCCAAATTGTTATTGATTCTTTATCCCTGTTTTTTAAGAAGAATGCGTAGAAAGTATATTTCTTTTCTTCTTCCTGATATTCCTTCGTGTCACAGAATTCCTAAAGGACGGACGTCCCTACCTTTCCCGACAGCAACAAAACTTCCGTTAAAAGCAAATATGCGCCTAGTAAAAATGACTTATTTAAACATATCTGCTCTTGAAAGCATTTACGTTCTGAAGATCTTGAAACTATGAGATCTGATGATTTTAGTTGTGATTCCGCATCTTTTTCATACTTTTTCTGGCAGTAATATATTTATTTCTGTGAGATGCATAGTTTTCACACACTACACAATTGTGTGTTGGATTAACATGATTGGTTTCGGTCCTATGGAGATCATATGATGCACACTGTAAGCACTCTTCACAGCCAAGTTGTACAAACGATATGTTGAGTTTTGCAATTTCCTGACGATAGAGTTCATAACTACCTTGACAATCAGGATTCTTTAGTTTGTAGTCATTGTACACCATTGTAATTGAAATATCCGATGGTATATATAGACTATTTGGAGCATGCTCCCGACGATAATGAGATACGGTAGGTCGAAAAGACTTTATATATTCAAGTAAAAAATATCATGACTAAATGACATAAAGATTGTTCAAGACTAAAAACTACCGAAAACAAACACTTTCGATTTTTAGGTTATGTTGTTTTAAGGTGCAATGCTGAATATGTCCTATCTGTCACTTAGGTCTTAGAGCATGCTAGATTTTGGGTAGCATTACATATTGCAATACTGACTATGCTATCTGTTGTAATAGGACACTTTAGGTTTGTAAAGCTCAGATTGGACGCAGTGCTTAGTAATTAGGTTTTAGTTTGAGCTTAGGACAACAAGGATCACAAGGAAGATACAGAATGCTTTTTGCTACCAGCCAGTACCGTTAGGACCAAAACTGCAATTTTGTCAGTTAGGACCTTTCAGCTTAGCAGGGCAGAATTGTTCCGGTAATAATTTTTTTTCTCTAATAAATTTTTTTAACTCTAGTTGTAACGGTCTAATAGCAGATTTATCAATGGTCAGGTTTTTACTGGTCATTTTTTAACGTGGCATTTTTTAAATTTGTCTAACCATCCCCGGCTTGTATTAAGCTCGATATTGGAGTTTGTAATCTGGCGATGAAAAACACCAGCTTACTCACAAATTATATGTCTATTTACAGGAAGATGTAATCGTCTTTGTTACAAAAGCCACGAAAACGAAGCATCTTCTTAGACAGGATTTTCAAATTTTTTACATTGAGACCACGTTCTGTTAGGTTTACTAACTTTAAGATTTTGTCTTTGTTCTTCTTTATGTCGCCCACACCTTTATCTAACATTTCTATAACCCGCAATTTATCTTTTACTGTTATGTATTTACCACGAAAGGTGGTAAACAAAAGATTGACGACAGGTTGGCTCTCGGCAGCTCCTGCAACACCTACGCGCGAATCCCATTGTCCGAACGGAACAGCGATCATCGAATAAAGAGTTTGGATTAGCCAGGCCCTACTGTATATTCGAAAAACGCAGCAGATCAATGTTTAGTTAGATACTCGATATGATCCAAGGTGCTTAAAAAGATCAATGCTTTTAACTGAAAATTTTAAGAAAAGATTAGGGAAATTTACCCCAAGAAGTAACTATGTAGAGGTTATATCTTATATCATTATTATGTTGTAATTATAATTAAACATAAACTAACTTACACACATGACTAATTAAAAAATAGTAATGTTTTTCATTTTATTTGGTTTAACAAAGAATTAAAGCAACTAGAAACAAATATAATATAGAGCTATCTAAGAAAACTTAAACGAATAAGAGGATATTTTGTTAATAAATTTTCTAATTTTAGATTCATATCCACAAGAAGTCCGCATCTATATTTAAATATATTCCAATGGATATTCTTCCTAAAGATTATGGTGGAAATGAAAAAACTCTAGAAGAATTAAATCGTGAGTAAATAAACTTTATAGTTAAAAACAAGATTAAAATATAGCCAATTATCTGCCAAATAAGGTAAATGCACCAAATGCCGGTTAGGATTTAATAACAGCCGAAATGTTATACCTTCACTTGTACAGTGTACAAGTGTACAAGTGTACAGTGTACAGTGTACTTATACAGTGTACATATTATCTTAAACCTTTATTTTTATTCGTCTTTATGGGGGGAGGGGGTCTCAAATCTTCAAAAGACTGCCTAACTGACCTTAGTGCAAGATTCGTTCTTCGTACTCCCGGCGATGGTTCCCGAGGTACTTTAAAATGCCCTCTCATCGCCGAGTCTACGTTGAACGCCTACCTGCTTAACCAGACCTTTGCCATCTAGCGATCCGTAAGCGGAATGGCCACTGTAAGACTGGCATCACTTCCGAACCACTACCTTCATCCCTCCATGGACTGTCAGCAAGGAGGCTCCTTATCTCGTTCCAGGTAGCGCGTGGAAGATCCTTATCGCTCCCAGTACGGCATCACTCCTAGACAGGCATGTCCTCCTTCTTCACAGTCTGACTCACTTTTCTACCTTTAACTTCCAGTATCTTTCCCTCTTACCTTTGCTGTGATATAGTTGTGTACACTACACACTGCACACTGCTATATTTTTAATCATTCTATATATAAATCATGAATGTGTTGCTTATGTGAGTCCATTTTAAAAAGGTAAATAAGTAATAATTAGACTTACTCACAATCAGTTTAATTTTACTACCTCAGACGACCGGTTTCGCTTTCTAAAATTTGCAAAGCATCATCAGGTCGGTGGTACAAAGTAAATTAAATGCTGACATTATAAAAAGCCCATATTAGGGTGCTGTCTTATAAGGATATAGATCAAAAAGTTATAGATAAAAAAAATTTAAGTAATTATGCCAATATTATATGTCTGTGTTAATTAATATGCATAAATTGCATTAGCAGACAGAGTAACAACCCACAAATTGGTAAAAGAAAAAGTTTGTTGAATTGTGATACATTAGAAATAAACAAAATACTACTTACATTCCGGCACAAAAATTACTATATAGTGATTGGTGATTCATAGTTCAAACTATCCTTATTACTGATAATGAGTAATCTTCGGTCAATGTTGTAACTGTCTAACAACTTAGGAGAAAGTTTCGTTATGAGATGGGTTCCTTCAATTCACAATTCAATAAACTTTTTCTCTTACCAATTTGTGGGTTGTTACTTTGTCTGCTAATGCAATTTATGCATAATAATTAACACAGACATGTAATATTGGCATAATTACTAAAACTTTTTTTGATCTATAACTTTTTGATCTATATCCTTATAAGACAGCACCCTAACATGGGCTTTTTATAATTTCAGCATTTAATTTATTTTGTACCACCGACCTGATGATGCTTTGCAAATTTTAGAAAGCGAAACCGGTCGTCTGAGGTAGTAAAATTAAACTGATTGTAAGTCTAAATTATTTCTTTTTTACATTGTCATTCTATATATCTAGATATATATCTTAAACTTAATTATTGTACTTATGTGGTATGTGACTATAGATTCAAACAATATCATACGAAGAAGTTACTGGAAGAAAAGGAAACAAAGCTGAAATAATATTTCAGCTTCATTTCCTGAAGCTGACTAATAAAAGAAGAAAACTTAAGTACTTAGGTCATGTTATCAGAGGGCAAATATACTCATTAATGTAGAATATTATGCAAGGCAAAATTCGAGGAAAGCGAGCTGTGGGAAAACGAAGAATATCGTGGCTTAAGAACTTGAGCGAATGGTTTGGATGCAGTAGTGCAGAATTATTTAGAGCGGTAATTAACAGGGTCCGAATAATCATGATGATTTCCAACGTTCAATTAAAGATGAACTTAAAGCCTTGAAGACCCAAAGAAGAAGACACGGGAATACACCGTGCTGTTAGCTGCAACAAAAATAAATAAATATATATATATATATATATATATATATATATATAACACTGTTTTTGATGGGTTGGAGTCAATAAAAGGGGCTATTTGTTGACTATTTTTTACTCGAGCTTTCAATTGTGATTACAATTTTTATCAAGAGCTTCTAAAAAATACAAAATGTCTTACAAAGTTGAACTAGAAATAAAAAATTTTTTGTTAACTCACCAAATAAAATTAGTTTTCTATACAAAACTACTGCTTACATATTAAATACAAAAAATATTAATAAAAAAATGTCTTATTCTAATTAATGTTTCTCTGACAAATTTAGATGAAGTTTCTTAAGAAAAAAAATTGAATTTATAAACAGAAATAGAATAGCTACAACTAGCCTAAATGTTATAAATACTAACTTAAAAATTTTTATTTTTGACATATTGTCAAAAATAAAATTTTGTTTAAAAAGTTCTTCTTTGTTTAGTAACAAAAAAGAAGAAGATTTATTCATCATTGATAGATGCCCGAAAAAATGTAACAAATACATGGAAAATTCAAAATGTGATATTTTACTGACTGCATAAATTAAATAGAAATTATATAATTATAAATTTTGCTTAAATTTTGAATTTCTGACCTTTTGTTTAAATTATTATCACTTTTGCTAATACAAACCATTTCCAAAAAAGTTCTTTTAAATTTATTACTTTCATTACATAAAATTTTAATATTATCAAAATCCATAATATGGTCTTTGTCTATTACATGCTCTGCCAAAGCACAAGATGGTTTCTTAATTCTACAATCACTCTTGTGAGAAATAATGCGATTTAAGAGATTTCTTCCAGTCTCACCAATATACTCAGCTTCACACTGAGTACAAACAATGCTGTATACTACATTTGTTTGATCTAATTTGTCTATAGGATATTTAGTTTTGGAATATAAAGATGAAATAGTTTTGATGTTCTTTGTTGCTATTTTTATATTGTCAATAACCTTTAATGTTTGTATTAATTTAGGAGTTAAAGATGGTATAAAAGGTAGTGAATGATAATATATGTTTTGATTGTTGGATACAGTGTTTTGAGATTTAGCAAAAAATGGTGTTAAGTTATTTATATTTAATAAATTAGAAAAAAGCATCCTATGTAGCATATCAGGAGGATAAGAGTTTTCAATTAAAATATTTTTTAACAAATGAAGATCTTCTTGTAGATAGTATATATATATATATATATATATATATATAATATTATATATATATATATATATATATATATATATATATATATATAATACTTATATTGTAAATATTTTAACTAATAACTAATATTAACTTTGACTATTTTCATTTATTATAAAGAAATAATACAAAACACTATAAAAAATTTAAAAAAACATCATGTGACTTCTTCTTCTTTATGTGCCTTGTCCATTCCGAACGTTGGCAATCAATATGGCTATTCTGACTTTGTTTACAGCAGATCTGAATAGTTCAGCAGATGAAAATCCGAACCATTGCAGCAAGTTTTGGAGCCACGAGTGTCTTCTCCACCCTGGACCCCTTCTGCTTTCTATTTTCCCTTGAACGATCAGCTGCGGTACTCTATATTTATTATGTCTCATAACGTGACCCAAGTATTCCAACTTTCTTTTTTTTATACTTAATCCCACCTCTCTATCATTACCTATCCGGCGTAGTACCTCTTCGTTGGTCACGTGCTTAGTCCAGGATATACGTAATATACGTCTGTAAGCCCACATTTCGACGGCCTCTACTTTTTTCATCAATGATGCGGTCATTGTCCACGCCTCCATTCCATATAACAAAACCGGGAATACATAACATTTCAGAAGTCAAATTTTGAGAGGTACGGTGAGGCTTTTAGAGGTGAAAATTTGCTTCATGCTAGTGAACGATGCTCTTGCCTTTTCTACTCTTATACGTATTTCCTTCGCTTGATCCCAATGTGAGTTAACTGTTGTTCCCAAGTAGATGTACGAATCCACGTGTTCAATTCTTTCATTGTCTAATATCAGTTGCTGTGGTGGTTGTTGGGTTTTGCTTACTAACATCCATTTGGTTTTTTGTGATGTTTAGTCTGAGTCCATATTGTGCACTTGTTTTTTGTATCTTATTCTTCATTTATCTTTATGCCTTCTGTGCTTTCCTCCAGCGCTGTCTTAAATACTTCTTCTGAGTATATATTAACGAGAATATTAGACAAGATACACCCGTGTCGTACCCCTTTCTTGATCTCAATTTTATTGGTCAATGTAGATCCTACTTTCACTTTAGTTGTTTGACCCCAATAGAGACTAGCTATTGTTCGAATGTCTCTGTAGTCGACTCCGATCTTATGGAGAACTTCAGTTATCTTTTCGTGCTTTACGTTATCGAAAGCTTTTGCATAGTCTATAAAGCATATCTGTGGTGTTTGGGAGAAACATGATAACTCCAAAATGCATGTTTTTCAGTAGAGCAATTTTAACGTTCGAGATGGTTTCTTAAATCGAACGCAACAAAATAAAAAACCAAATATATTTCATTAAATACTTTATTAAGTGCTATAACAGATGTAACAAGCAAAATATGTTTTAACATTTCTGTTTTTGATATAATGGCACATATCATATTTGTATCAAAAATATAGAGATTTAAAAAGTATTTTAATGGAGATAACGGTCAAAGAGGATAGAACTTAAACTATTATTGGTCAATTTCTTTGTATTGGAAAACACTGCTGTGGAAATATATGGCTTTACTTGTACCAAATTAAAACTTACGCTTCGAAATTTTCATCACTGTCGCTTGTATATTGTGTGGTACTGGTTTGAGTGTGTTCAAGCGAATGGTAAAATCCATGACAGATTGGATCTATAAAGGGTAGTAGGTCGAGAATATCTTTATATTTCAAATAGTCTATGGGTAGAGGATCATTATAAGCTGGAAGTATCTGAATATTAGACATGGAAGTTAACCTGCCTCTTCTTAGCATGGACATTGAACGAACTGGTTCATCGGGATCTAATGTGTATTTAAAGCTTATATCACTATCCTTTTTG